CTATAGTCTAGTCTATAGTCTAGTCTATAGTCTAGTCTATAGTCTAGTTATAGTTAGTCATAGTCTAGTCGTATAGTAGTCTATAGTCTAGTATATATTCTAGTCTATAGTCTAGTCTATAGTCTACTATAGTCTATAGTCAAGTCTAGTCTATAGTCTAGTCTAGTCTAAGTAGTCTAGTCTATAGTCTAGTCTAGTCTATAGTCTAGTCTAGTCAGTCTAGTCTAGTCTAAGTCTATAGTAGTCTAGTCTAGTATAGTCTATAGTCTAGTCTATAGTCTAGTCTATAGTCTAGTCTATAGTCTAGTCTATAGTCTAGTCTATAGTCTAGTCTATAGTCTAGTCTATAGTCTAGTCTATAGTCAGTCTATAGTCTAGTCTATAGTCTAGTCTAGTCTAGTCTATAGTCTACTCTATAGTCTAGTCTAGTCTAGTCTATAGTCTAGTCTATAGTCTATAGCCTAGTATATAGTCTAGTTTATAGTCTAGTATATATTCTAGTCTATAGTCTAGTATATATTCTAGTCTATAGTCTAGTCTATAGTCTAGTCTATAGTCTAGTGTATATTCTAGTCAATAGTCTAGCCTATATTCAAGTCTATAGTCTACTCTAGGTATATACATTAGTAATAACATTTTTGTATTGGGACCACCCTAATGTTTATTATATGTAAAATATGTAAAACTTCCAAAACAGTGGTATGAATTTAAAGAGATAAATTCATTTTATATAACTTTTTTAATGCAAAAATAAATAAATAAAACATTGTCCCTGAAAATAATTACAAATGTAAAATTATTTAAATTTTGCCTATTTTTTACTAATAAAATAAAAAAGTAATTAAATTAAAAACATTTGATAAAGAAACACAACTGATGATTGGAAAGATGTAAAATACAAAATAAAAATGTCATCAACTTTTGAGTAATAAATAAAAAGTTTTTGAAGTAAACTGCTATAAATTTTAATGTCACTAGTAAAAAAGAAAAAAAAAACTCATTCATAACATAATGCACACATACAAACAAACAACTAAATTCCCATGTAGAAAAAACAAAAGACTTAAGACAGCAACAGTTTTTTTCACTTTATAAATAAATAAACCAACAATCAATATTTTTTGCTTTAAAAAACTACATAAATGATACATTTTAATTTAAATGACATATCCGCATATGCAACTTAGTTTTTTTTAGAAAATTTATTACGAAAAAAAACTAGGCTAATATTTTTAGAACTATTAAAAGTAAATTACAAAAGTTTAAGAACATTACAAAATCAATTACAAGTTTATGAACAAAAAATAGTTAAAGTTAAATTTTAATAGTTATTTTTTTATTGAATTTATATGAAAATTGAGATATTAAGATTGGATTTTCCTAACAAATGTACATGATTTGCTGTGGCAAGATGGATTTTAAGCGGGAATTGGAGATTTCAAAGTTGTTTACAGCCAACATGACTTTTTACATTAATTAGTCTGTATTTAAGTCGATTTTAAATAGTTTAAGTCTTATTTTAAGTTAAATTAAATAGATTAACATCTTAGCTGTATTAAGATCTTTAATTTATTCATTATTTATGCAACTAAATTGGATTCAGTGGATGTTAAACTGTTACGTTAAACATTTTTAATTCTGTTATTCATGTTAATGGTTATTTTAACAAATAACCACTGGAATAATTCAATTTGAAATAAATAATAATAAATATTTTACTAAAGCCACTATTAGCTTGACTTACTGCCCTTTTATTAAGTTATTCATAAAGTAACTTATTAACCACTGTTTTATTATATAGTTCTTTATATTAATAAAAATTTGTTTTTTTTTCTTGTTAACAACATTTGTTATTGGCCTTTAATTTAATAAACAATAATGTTTACAAATTTAATTTAATAATTTTAAAAAACAATTTATAATGTCATTAAGTATTTCCTCTTTGCCACTAATATATTCATGGTAAAATGCTTAAAAGAGCAGTAACCCACAAATCGTATAAACCGACACAATCATACCAAACCCAAAACAGACGGCCCACTTTGAGACAGCACTTTTTAAAATCTGCACAAAATAAAAATTTATAAAAAAAACATACTGATGAGAGGACCTTTCTCTTTCCGTTCGTTACCTTAAGATAATATACAGAAACGGTAACATTCAAAAATTTTGTTTAATTGAAGTACTACCAGAATTGGTCGAATTTGTAATACTGGCACAACATAAAGAGTACTTTTGAGAAACTTTATACAAATTTTAAGTATCTTTTCTGGACTTTATAAAAATCCATGAATTAGTCTATAAATTTGTTCATAGAATAGACTGGTACATTATAATAATAGGCAAGTCCACAGACTAGTCTATAGACTACTCTAGTTAAAAACTAGTTTAATTAATAGACTACTCAATATAGTAGCCAATCGTCTAGGCAATGGATTATAGTCCATTATCTGAACAATAGTCTGCTCTATAGTCTAGTCTGTATTCTAGACTATAGTTTTGCCTAAATTCAGGCATATAGTCAAGCCTATAGCCTAGTATATAGTATTGACTGTAGACGAGTATATATTCTGGCCAGTTGTCTGGTCTATATTCTGATCTATAAATTTGTCTATATCCTATAATCAGATTTATGGTCTGGTCTACATTCTGGACTATATTCTAGTCTATAGTCTGGAGTACAGTCTAGTCCATAGCGTAGTTTATAGCCTAGCCTATAGTCTGTAGTCTAGTCTAAAGTCTATATTCTAGTCTATAGTCTAGTCTATAGTCTAGTCTATAGTCTAGTCTATAGTCTAGTCTATAGTCTAGTCTATAGTCTAGTCTATAGTCTAGTCTATAGTCTAGTCTATAGTCTAGTCTATAGTCTAGTCTATAGTCTAGTCTATAGTCTAGTCTATAGTCTAGTCTATTAGTCTAGTCTATAGTCTAGTCTATAGTCTAGTCTATAGTCTAGTCTATAGTCTAGTCTATAGTCTAGTCTATAGTCTAGTCTATAGTCTAGTCTATAGTAGTATAGTCTAGTCTATAGTCTAGTCTATAGTCTAGTCTATAGTCTAGTCTAGTCTAGTCTATAGTCTAGTCTATAGTCTAGTCTATAGTCTAGTCTATAGTCTGTCTATAGTCTAGTCTATAGTCTAGTCTATAGTCTAGTCTATAGTCTAGTCTATAGTCTAGTCTATAGTCTAGTCTATAGTCTAGTCTATAGTCTAGTCTATAGTCTAGTCCTATAGTCTAGTCTATAGTCTAGTCTATAGTCTAGTCTATAGTCTAGTCTATAGTCTAGTCTATAGTCTAGTCTATAGTCTAGTCTATAGTCTAGTCTATAGTCTAGTCTATAGTCTAGTCTATAGTCTAGTCTATAGTCTAGTCTATAGTCTAGTCTATAGTCGTCTATAGTCTAGTCTATAGTCTAGTCTATAGTCTAGTCTATAGTCTAGTCTATAGTCTAGTCTATAGTCTAGTCTATAGTCTAGTCTATAGTCTAGTCTATAGTCTAGTCTATAGTCTAGTCTATAGTCTAGTCTATAGTCTAGTCTATAGTCTAGTCTATAGTCTAGTCTATAGTCTAGTCTATAGTCTAGTCTATAGTCTAGTCTATAGTCTAGTCTATAGTCTAGTCTGTAGTCTAGTCTATAGTCTAATCCGTAGTCTAGTCTATAGTCTAGTCTATAGTCTAGTCTATAGTCTAGTCTATAGTCTAGTCTATTGTCTAGTCTATTGTCTAGTCTATAGTCTAGTCTATAGTCTAGTCTAGTCTAGTCTATAGTCTAGTCTAGTCTATAGTCTAGTCTATAATCTAGTCTATAATCTAGTCTATAGTCTAGTCTAGTCTAGTTTATAGTCTACTTTCACGGACTTGTCTATAGTTTAGTTTATAGTCTTGTCTATAGTCTAGTTTATAGTCTAGTCTATAGTTTAGTTTACTGTCTAGTGTATGGTCTAGTCTGTAGCCTTACCTATAGTATATTCTATACTCTAATCTAGTCCATAGTTTAGCCCACAGTCTAGTCTATAACTCAGTCCATAGTCTAGTTTATAGTCCAGTCCATAGCCATAGTCTAAGGTCTATAGTCTAGTCTATAGACTAGTCTAGTTTATAGTCTAGTGTAAAGTCTAGTCTATAGTCGAGTCTCTAGTTTAGTCTATAATCTAGTCCGTAGACTAGTCTAGTTTATAGTCTGGTCTATAATCAAGTTTATAGTGTAGTGTATTGTCTAGCCTATAGACTAGTCTATAGTCTAGTCGGCAGTCTAGTCTATAGTCTGAAGTATAGTCTACCCTTTTACCCAAACTTTAAAAATGTCCCATAATCCATGACAAACTTATTACAGCCCCTATAGTTTTGTCAGGAAGAAAAACATAAATATACTTATGATACTTTTTTAAATCAATTGTTAAAATAACGTTTATGTTTTTTATTTTATATTTTAGGTTTGAGAGTCAATATGCTAAAATCTAAACTGCAGATTAACTAAAGCAAATGTTAAACTTTTAGTGCGACTTAACCAAAAAAGCCAAAGAAGTCAACGCAGGCAGAGCATTAATTTCGTTTAATCAGAAAAAAGAGGCGACACACTATCACTTTAACCGACAACTGTTTAGATGAGGCTTGACTAGCTGGCTGGCTGGTGGATTAAATGCTGCTGCTTCTGTCGCTGCTTATTACGGTTGGTGGCTTATAAACAAAGTAAACTGTTGCAGACGCCACAAACAACTGCAACATCATCGACAACAACAATCGTCCACCATCAACACCAGCAACAATAACAATAGTTCCTCTCAACATTTTTCACAGTTAAAGACAATTGTGTTGTTGTACGACGACCGAATGTACGAACAACACACAACAAAAAGGTCTCACATTATCTAAGACAACATTGCAATGTTTTCTATTATTGTTGCTGTTGTAGTAGAGTATTTGTCCGTCTGTCTGCTGTAGCTGTTTAAAAAATTTTCGTGTATTTTTTTTTTTGTAGATTTCTGATGTTGTTGTTTTCTTTAGGTGCAAAACTTTTATAAATGCCAGTGTCGTTAAACAATTGAAATGAGTCGTTATTCGAACGTAAAACAAACAACTTGTGTGGTGGTGAATTCCGTGTTTTTGTTTCAAAATTAATTCAAATTGCCAAACAACGAATTTCCGTTAAATTTTTGAAATTGCATTTAAATATTTTTTTTGTGAATTTGAAAGCAAACAACAACTGTTCGAACTGAAATAAAACATACTTTGCCAGGATTAAAAGTATGATTTTATAAAGTTTCTTAATTAAAAAAGTGATCGTCATTTTACAAAAAACGCTAACAATTGCTATAAAATCTTTTAAAAATGTTGTGTACAAAAAATAAATTAAAAAATAATTAAAATATACGACAAAGTTTAAATACTAGTGTCATTAACTAGTCTTCAGCTGGAAAGAAAAAATAATTATTTAACAGAAAATTAATTTGTGTTGCAAACAGCAAGAAAAAAAAGAAACGTTTGTAATCAAAATGAAGACATTATTAATATTAATTTGTTTAACAATTGGTAAGTGTTTGATCACAGAGCTATTAATGGGAAAAAAACTTAATAATACAGAGATTAAGTGAAGTGGAAAAATTGATTTTAAAATTGCTGATTTTTTTTTTAATTTTTGTGTCATACCACTAATTAAGCAATCAATTTTAATTAACATAAACCAGGTTTTTGTTTTAATTTATGATTTTTGTTTTATTGTAAATATTTACTCATAAAATTCACAGAAATATTGGGAAAAAAGTTAAGTTAGTTTGGGTAGTTATAGGTTTAACTAACTACTGCAAAGCTGTACCTAAATAATCAATTCTAATCATAATTAATTCTATGAACTTTCTTGAAATATTAATAATCTCAATAATTACGATCGTGATTTATTTATTATAAATAATGTTATATAATTTAAAATACAAAATTGAGATAATTTATCTGAAAATCAAAATATAAGATAGATAGATCAAATTAATATTCATTTCAAAAAAGTTAATCGGTATATAGATTTTGTCATTCCGGTCTACGATACACCTAGCCTCCGTACAAGTGGACCCCAGAATACAACATAAAGACCAATATTATACAGCAAGCGTGATAAATGTTTGCACAAGTTAGTATGGCGGAGTGGCCTCCGGTAGGTTAGTGGTTAGTGTTCTAGTCTGGTAGACCGGAGGTGGTTGGTTCGATTCCCAACTGAGGAACTGGTTAAGGAGCGCACAACAGGCCCAATAGAGTCCTAGGTGTATTTCTTCGAATTTGATGTATGTGTATGCATCCTCCTTTTCAAACTAACTAACTAGTGTGGCGGACATCGTACCATAATTCCCACTTCCTCCCATATAAAGTCCCCTTCAGAAAATTCTATTAACGCTCATAAATGACTTAATAATGTCAGTGTAGATACGAAAATTGTTGTAAATAAAAATCTGTTTACCAAATCCTGATCGGTCTATTGACCCTACTATCCATATATTATACCATTCTGTCTTAACAACAAAAGTATTAGGATGACATTTTGACAAAAACTAGTTTTATAAAATCCAAAATCTCTACACCCTATACCTCTTAAGAAGTCCCTTAGGACCTTTAAAAAGTTACTTTAGAACTTATAATTTGCTTAATAATACAAGTAGCAATGAAATTTGACACAAATCTTTCAACAAAAAATTCCGAACTTAATTGACCCTATTCCTTATACAAGATCCAGCCTCCATATAAGTAACCAACCCCTATTGCTGAAAATCAGTTAATTGTTAAAAATTTGTGGAGTTAAGAAAAAAAATTCGACAAAAATTACATTTTGGAAAATATTAACACAAATTGCCATCTGTATTATTTAAAAAAGAAAATTTAGTTTAAAAGGATCAAATAGGCGATTAAATGTATCGGTATTGTGGAAGTAAAATTCCATTAAATTTGTGACAAATTCAATATAAAATTGAAAATTCACAGATTGCACAGTTTGCGAGGCTTTGAAGGTATATATGTATGTATATATTATATTTCAAATTCTAAAGAGCCCGGTACAAAATTGTCTCAAGTCCCCATAAACATTTCATTCCAGATGAAATTTGCACAATAAATACTACATGCTTATAGATAGCGAAATCGATTTAACTATGTCAGTCTATCTGTATGTTCATCTGTAGGCTTACTGATATATCGGAACCCAAGTACATTTACCGAAAAAAAGTACGCACTTTTTTAATATTTCTTTTCTATCTGATCACTAACATTTCATATAATTTGTTTAAAGGTCATTTAAGTGTTATTTTGAATACTAGACTTTGGGCTATTCAATGACTTTCCTATGGTCTGGACTTTTAACTGGTCTGTGAATTAGTGTTTGAACTAGTATACGGGCTGTTCTATAGACTGGTCTATTGTCAAGTCTATATAGTTACTAGTCTAGGCTGTAGGATATTATGTTTATAATATTGTCCAGTCCATAGAGATAATAGACTATCTGGTCTATGGACCAGTCTATTGCCTACATGGACTTATTTTATTGACTATCCTAATGACTAGTCTATGGGCTAATACATATGAACTGTTAATTTTGAAAATAGTATGAGTCTTCTTCCGAAAAAAACGAGTTAATGTAGGAATTGAATATTTGAAAGGATTCAAAATTTCCCTTTATTAAAACTCAACGGCTAAACCTAAAATCATGATATTTTGGCAGTAGATGTACTTTTGATGACGTCGATCCAGTTAGGAGGGATTTTTAGAAATTCCAATATTCAGGACGTAAAAAGTGTAAAAACGGCTAAATTCGGTAACCTTGTATCTCCTAAACTAAAAAAGATAGAACAAAAATTTCATTCTTATCGTGATGAATTTGAAAAATACGAGAACAAGTGTCTGGTACTTTTTCGAAATTCAGCCCCTTTAAGTTATTTTTGATACTTTTTTGCACATAATGTTTCTATTAAACCAGTGAATATATATGAAATCACTCGTACGTTATCTAGAAACAACACATTAATGTTGTGTTATTTGAAACTCGGATTCCAAGTCCACATGGTATCAAATTTGGGTGAATAATTTTATACCTTTTGAGCAAAACACAGATTTGTATTGTTTGAGCTTTTCTGTGAGATAGGCAAGCTTTACAGCTTTATAAGGCAAGCTCAAAATTTTTTTTGGTTTCGATTGAATGAGAACAAATAAGAGGGATCTTCTTGGTACTTTTTCATGCTGTAATTGATACAGAAACATGATTGAATGATAATATGCAAGAGTGGACTTTTGGTACTTTGTTTTGTTCTTCAATTGGTACTTTTTGAATTTTCTATAAACATAGAATTAAACACATAGCTTTCCGATGGATTGATAAACTATAAAAGAGAACATTCTGGTACTTTATCGTTCATCAAATGGTACCTTAAAAACATCAAATTAAATAAACAAACTCCTGAGTGAGTGAAAGTCTGTTTTCAAATTTTCTATATGAAAATTAAGCCCATGAAAGTAAAACTACAGTGTCTAATGTTGGAACTAAAAATATTAAATCATACATACATAAGAAAACAAGTAAGAAATTATAGTCATGTGTAGCCGACCATTTGATACCCTACACCAGTTATGATAATAAAATGTAATTTATAATTTTTAATAAAGCATTTATGTTTAAGCCTGCATTATATTTAAGCAATTGATAGATGAACAACTGATTTTCTGAAACACTTTTAATATGGGAACTGGGGAAAATATGGACCGATCCACATGAAATTTGCTGATGTATTTATGAAGAATTTCTTCGCGGCATAATTCTGTTTAAGTAAATTTTGGACATTTTGGTAATTTTCTGATGGGGGGGCTTTGTATGGGAATCAAATGAGGCCCGAAGGATTAGTTGATGGGGGTCTTTGTATGGAAGTCAAATGAGGCCCGATCATTACAAAATTCGGCAGGGTCATCAAGGATTAGTTGTGCCACTTTTTGTACAGATACGAGTATATTACTAAGAGTAAAAAGCTCAAATAGATGGGTTCGATTGAATGGTGGCTAGGTGAAATAATGGACCGATTTTACACAAAATCAATAGCGTTCGTCCTTAGCCAAAGGTATTAAACGTACCAAATTTCATTGAATTATATTTAAAATTGCGACCTGTACTTTGACTACAATGTTTACATTTACGGACGAACGGATATGACTTAATCAACTCAGAAAATGATTCTTAACCGATTGGTATACTTTAAGGTTTTTATTCGTTACAAACATAAGCACTAACGTATAATATCCTCCCCACTATAGTGGTGTAGGGTATAATACGAATCTTAAAGAAGAAATTTTTCGTTGCTCAATTGTACACAAAAACAGAATAGTATTTTTCTAGTATTCTATGAGATTGTTTCACATGATATCCTTTTATATTTTTGCAATCAAAATTTTTTCTTAATTTAACTTCAATTAGGGTAGCGAAGTTTGCAAAGTTTGCTAATAAAACTAATGTTATAAAAATAACTTTAATTACAACATTACTTTGAGTTCGAGCATAACATTTACTTATTTACAGACAGACAGACCGTCTAAGAATTTTTGATATCTTTGCTATTATTTGGAATTATGAAATTAATTTTTCTATGATTGTTATTAAAAGTGGTCTAGAAATATTCGATTTTGTCAAAAAAAGTGAATTTTGCCTTTAAGCACACAACCGGAAATTCTGTTTCATTGTATAATTAATTAAGCAATATTAATTGGTTGTTAAGAGTTACGAATCTCTGAAAATCTAGTTAACTAATCTACGTTGTTGTGATTTTCCAAGGAAAAACAACAAACAACTATTTTTATAATTATGTTTATTGCAACTTCAAATAAATAAATTAAATTCTTACATGTAATGTACATGTAAAAAATAACATAGTTTTTCCATTTCAATCCAATTTTTCCCCCACGTCAAACAAAAACAATAAAATTACAAAACACTAAATTATCTTAACAATGCCTTCATAATTTATTTTTTCTTCTCTCCCTCCTCTATCTTTATTACCCAATTTTTCAGGCATTTTAAATGTCTACTGCGCCAGTGAAATAAATAAACCCACTAAACTAACGACAACAAAACAAATTGCTGATGACACAACAACAACAACGAATACAGCAGCAGCAACAGCCGCCGCATCTGCACCAGTTGCAGCAATTGCATTAACAAATGACGCTACCAAAGATAAAAGAGAAACAAAAGACACAAAAGATGCATCCACTGTCTATGCAAATCATCGATCAGATACAGCAACCGCCATTGTCCATAGAAACACTAATGCAAATGACGATGATCCCGAAAGTCCACAAGAAACGGTTTACGGAACAAATGCCCGACAATTTCTAATAAGACCACAGCAACAACATTTGCAACAGCAGCAGCAACAAAATGAAGAAGAACAACTGCCACCACAATTGAGAAATTATCCGGCCACCATAAGGCCTCACAATACACAGCTACTGGAACAAAGTCAGGAGGTGAGTATTACAATTATTGCTGCTATTATTTTTTACTTGAGTTTTTTTTTTTTTGTTTTGCCTCTGGTCCAGGCTAAGGCATTAGTTATTACTTGTTGCAGCTATTGTTGTTGTAGTCTTTGTATAACATCATGGAAACGAATCGATTATAGAGTCAGTTGGAGTGCCTGTCTGTCAATAGTTGTTTAGTTGGAAAATATCAAAAGGTTAATGAGATAATTAAGGTGAAGAAAACACAGCAGATATCTATAGGTATAAAGATTTACAACAACAATAGCAACAACACCAATAATAGTAATGTTAGTACAAAAATAATAACATGAAAATCGCTTTCATGGTAGCTAAAAGCCATTAATGTTAAACGTTTTTCAGCAGTGATGTCCAATATGGAAATATTCAGTTAATTTGACAAATAAATTGCTAATTACAAAATAATTAATTAATTAAAAAAGAATTAAAATTAAAAGATATGAGCAAAAAACCGAGACAAACTGTGAAAATTTGATCAGAAATTAGATTTTTTTTGCATTCTTAGACAAAAAGAAACAACAACATATAGCTTCATATGGAAAATATTGTTTTATCCCGAGTTTGATTGGGAGAAAGAACATCACGTTACGCATATGTGTGTTGTTATTGTTTTGTTAATGCCAAAATCAGGGATGGAAAGTTATGTATGGGAAATTAAGAAGGGATGGGAAAAAATAATTTTGAAAAGCATTTAGAACCCAGAGTAAAACGGAATCTTGAAAAGAGTTTTCATAAGTCCATATAGTTGTAGACTAACATTCCACGCTGTTAGACGATTGGCTTCGTTCTAGCGAACAGTGTGTGTGATATTAATGATCGGCTAATGTTAGACGGAAAAATTGAAATCTGTGGGACTGGTGAGAGTTGTAAATTAGAATAAAGAAGAGGACATATATGTCCTCTGGTTAATGGCTAACATTTTTATATAACATTTTTGGGCTCCTGTGTTTTTTGTTGATTAGTGATGGATCTTACGTAAACTGTTACATATGTATCTATAGTCCAAGTAGTGTCCTTTATGTTTGAGCAAGTAGTGTCCTTTATGCTTGAGCTTTGAGTTAATTTCTTATCCGGTTCACAACATTTTAACATTCAACATAAGGTACAATATCCTAATGGTCAGGTATTGGGCTTATCTGCCGTGATGGCCTTATTTTACGGCGGTACTCTTTCAACCACTAGGTGAGCTGACTATACGACTCACCACCGCTCCTTTGTGTATCTTACACGCCGGTGGCAATATTTTAAATGGCTCTGCAAGGCCATCTTGCTATCCAAACTCTGACCATTGCTGCCCCGTTGCATGCAGAAACATCACTTCCGTGTAGAACCACGCAGATGGCATTGCCTCTCTTGAGTCGGCAACAACACCTCTAGACGAATCCTTCAAATAAGCCAAGGGCTTTGTTCTTACCCATAGAGAAAACACTGTGGTAAATCTGGTATGAACAGAGTAAACTCTAAACATACCTGGAAAAGGAAGGAAAATTCATTGTTATAACTTGTATAAGATACCTTACATCCATCATCCAACTCAGCATACTTCTCATTCCTTCGACACATCCATAGAGACACACTCACTCTAGCTATACGGGCGGGGGAAGACCCGTATACCCCTACATTCATCCTGTATCATATACATTTAACATCAACTCAATTCCAACGCTTAGTCTGACAATCACTTCTCTCAGGGGTATCTGTTGACTTCGGCAACAGCACCGAACTTCGACAACAACATCGAACTTCGTCAACAGCACCAGAATTTTAGACTTTAGCGTGCATCAGCCTTTTAACCGACATTCTCACCTTAAAGGAGCTCTCCAATAACCGGGGCAAGACAAAATCCGAAACTCTGTCCTGCGGGAGTGCATTAGTTTGATTCCATGTCAAATCATTCCAAGGAAAGGCCGAGAATACATTTGATCATTGCAATCACACCAAAATGAACTTTTTCATCATAATTTTTTTGAAAATTGTATGTTTTCCGTGGAATATCTTCATCGTTTTAATCTTCTATACTAAGTACATGAAAAATTTGTTAGAAGATTCATAAAAGAAGTTGAGTAGTTGGCGTAGTTTTAGCTCAAATAGATGATCAGTGTTGTGTAAATCAATTGTGTCTCTTTAAACGAGTATTTATTAGGATTGTGCAATGTGTGGAGGACTACGTCATAAAATACTTTAAGTTAGTGTTAGTAGTATTCTATAATCAATAGGATGAGGATACTATAATAGATATTACTGGTTTATTCTGGTGTATTCTCCATATCAGCCATATATTGCTTAGTAGACCGTTATACCTGCAGTATGTGGTTCTTTACCACTTAGTATCATATCTTTGGGATATGAAGTGACTTTGGAGTGCAGTCACAGTAAAGTAGAGTCAAAGAGACTCCGTTTTGATAAGACCACTCCACTAGTCAGATGTATGGTATTAGATGTAACATATAGCCGTGATATTTGTAAGTGAATCTAGATCCAGAAAACACTGTTTGATGTAGTGTAGTTTCCAAGGAATCTAAGTCACCTACATTGTAAAAGATCTAGCAACCACGATATGTCTCGTCTATTACAGGTTTAGAGTTGCATAGGGCGTTTTTCATCGAAAGATAACCACATTTTCAGCCTTTTGAAGAAAGAATCTAAAAGTACTACTTTTAATAGATCCCAGCAGAATTGCAACTGAAGTTGCACATGATATATTCAAAGGTAATCACGTTCTGTGTAAAGCCTCCTTTACACGAGCACACAAGTAATATGATCTGTTAAAATTTTGTGTAGAAGAGTACGGATGGCAATATGTAATGAAACCTTTACACTTTGAGAGAAAATACGGATTCAAAATTTGACAGTCGTATAGCTCTCTTCATTTTTCGAAATGATTGAAAAATCAAGCAAGTTGCATTAGATCAGAGACGTATTTTTATGTAAACACATACAAAAAAATGAAACATCTGTTTCCATCTTACTATGTTATTGTTTTATATCAATCGTGTAAACACAAAATATATAAATCACACGACTTTTATTCTCTTTTTTGTCATACTGATAGAATTTCAATTTACTTTTCATTAGACTTTACGTACGTACAGTGTGGTCGTGTAAAGGATCCTTAATTCTATACCCAAACTGAGGTTGATATCAGACAGACGGCCTAACTTTTACAGATTATTCTTATATTGTCTGACCATTCCAGTCATTCGCTACTTAATGAGAGATTCTTATCCCAAATCTATAGGACTTAGCCTATTGAAACAGATTGGAATATATTTTGTTTTTTCACTTAATAAACATAAACAAGTCCAAATTCTGCAAAAACGTAACCAGAAATACATTTTTTAAATATCGTATGTATCCCTCCAATTTTGGACATATTTGTGTAAACCATATAAATAGTAATCTTCCAGAAGTAGCATAAATATATGTTTTAGATCAAGGTTACTAATTTTATCACAAACGGTCTATAATTGATCAGCAGCTTCCATATAAGATTACATACTGCATCCATATTATAAATTATATTACAGGATCTGTAAATAATTGTCCATAGCTAAACTAAATTTATATTTGTGTTAAAAACTGTTAATTTTTCCTCATAAAATATTTCAAATTTTTTTGTTTTGCAAAAGATTGGCCAACACGGAATGCTGCTTATTTTTTAAATAACCAAATACGAAGAAGACATTATCTAAAGTAATGCAGTTATTGTTTGTTTTTTTCTTTGTTCCAAGCAGTTGACAAGTATTTTTTTTTTGTGGCAATGCAACTGTTGAATACTTGTTGTAAATATTTTTTGTTTAAATAATGTTTTAGTGTTGTTGTTGTATGGCTGTTGTACTTGTATTATATTTCAAAGGAGATTCATACCTTGATTATATTAAGTTTATGTTTAATATTTTTTTGTTCTCTTAGCAAAAAAATTATTAGGCTGCAAGTGATGCTCTAGCATTTTTAAATAGTCTATGAGATGTTTTTCTAATGTTTTATTATTGTAGTTGTAGTTATTGTTGTTACAATTGTTGCTGTTGTTGTTATTATTAAAGTTTGTTGCAACAATATTGTGGTTAATTTGTTCATGGGGCCTTTGTCGTGACTAGTTTCTCATACACGATTCTTTCTGTCAGCATTTAGTAATATTGTTGTTGCTGTAGTTTTGTACTTTTTTGTTCATCTCTCTCTCTCTCCCTGTTGCCTTGCAATTACAACGTTTACAAATGTTTAATGTTTAGGTTTGTTAACTATAAATTATGTTTTGCTATTATAAATGCTGGATGCTAAGCTTTCTATTAAGAGATTTTTTTTTGTAAAAATCGTGTTTAAACAAATTCTTATAATTTTTAAGGATTTTGTAGAAAAAATATTTAAATAATTGTTTCTAAAGAAAATAAACATTTCCTGTTTTGTAATATCGTTATAAAACAAAAGACTTAAGAACGAAACATTAGTTTGTTCAAAGATAAACATTTAAAGTTTGTGTCTTAAGTCTTTTGTTTAAATAACTTGAAAACATTAAAAAAACTTATGATTTTCACTAAAAGCTTAATATTTTATGAAATTTTATATTAACACCAAATTTGTAATATTTTTTACATTAATTGTGTCATGTTTTAACATGTTTAATTTGTTGAAAACTGTCAGACAATTGTTTTTCCCAATTGAGTATCATTAATGAAACAATTATTTACTGACAACTTAACAACTGTTTAAGTATTCTGCGGCTATTACAAACAAAGTAACATATTTCTCACAACTTAAAACATAATAATGAAAAAAAAAACTAAAATCAACTGCACAAATCAACCACAAATTTTCCAAAATTTTCTAAGAAAAAAAAACAGAAAAACTAAAACTATAATTGCAACAATTTAACATGAACAAGACCTCTATGGTAAGAAGAGAAAAAAAAATACAATAATGATTATTGTTGTAATATGTTAAGAATTGGCGAAGCGTAGCAGCAACGCCACCAA